CACACACACACGCACACACACACACACACACACACACACACACACACACGCGCGTGCGCGCATATGATTATACAGGCGATGACGGGATGGGCGGAAGGCTGATGGCGAGAGGGTCGCCCCCGCGAAAACAAGAACCCTCCTTGCTTTTGTTTTTCTTTCTCTTTTTTTCTTTTTTTTTCCCCTTTTTTTCTTTTTTTCTTCTTTTTTCTTTTTCCTTTTTTCTTTTTTTTTTTTTCCTTTTTCTTTTCCTTTTTCCTTTCTCATTTTTTCGCCTTTTTTTCGCCTTTTTCTCTGTTTTTCCGTTTTTCTGATAATAAGTGCCCCGGCAACGGTGAGCCCCTTTGGATAGACCAATAGGTATCCCGGAACCCTGGGGTTTTCGCTTCCCCCGACCCAGAGAAAGTAGGGTGGGACGCGCTTGGGCCAGAGAACAGTTCACTCCCGGGAAGGGCCAAGAGATATTGGCCTTCGTCCTCATCACGGGCCAGCGAACGATGTGCTTTCGAGCGGCTCCCTTGTTGTTACCACTTTACGATTCTTTCTTTTTTTCTTTCTTTTCTCTTTTTTCTTTTTTTCTTTTTCCTTTTTTTCTTTTTCCTTTTTTTCTTTTTCCTTTTTTTCTTTTTTCTTTTTTTCTTTCTTTTTTTGGTTAGCTTTTTAGCTTATAGATTCTTCTCGGTAACCGTCGGATAGATGCACTAAGCGTGTGGATGGAGTAGGAAGCTTTCGTTGGAAGCATGCTAAACAGGGCTGAGTGGTGACTATATTAGGATTTAGTGACGGTAGAACTATTCATCGGCCTATCAAACGATAACCGGCTCCGGTAGTACTTGGAACGAGCGGCGATCCGGTTTTGCGGGAGAATTTTGTGTTGCGGTGGGCGGCATGGATTTTTTCGTCGAGTGGGACCAGGAGGAGGAACGACTTGAGGAGTAGGAAGTGGTAACGCTCTTGGTGTGAGGCGCACCTGTGATCCTGTCCCCCCTTCACTCCGGCCGTTCGCCATGCACTGTGAAGCGACTTGCCCCACCGCGATCGTTATGCCCCGCTACCGCCCCCGCTCGCCTATGCTTAGCGCATACCTGGCTCTCGTGCTTTTTTTCGCCCTGCTTCCCAACCTTGCGGTGGTGGGTCTGCTCTTCGCCGCCTGCCTCTCCGAAACGGTGCTCCTGCGTGCTTCGACCAAGGGTTTTGCCTCGCTCATTGCCGCCACGATCTGCTTCGTGTCGCTCTTTCTTGCCGACTGCCTTTGCCTGTCCTTTCCTGCTTGCTGATTTGGGTTGGCTGGAGGAGGTGGTTGGATAGCGCGTGAGGGCAATAATGGAGGCCAAGATGGCGGCAGGGACATCTTCGCACATTTTTTTGGCTTTTCTCTCCTTTTTATCGTTTCTCTCCTTTCTCTACTTCATCTACTCTCTCCCCCCTTCTCCCCCTCCGCTCGGGTTTTGCCCCCCTTCCGCTCCCTACCCCCATCTCGAATCTTTACCCCCCTCCCCCCACCCACCATCCCCTTCTTTTTTTCCCTCCCTCGTGCTCCTCCCCTACCTCGTCTCCCAGGAGATGCCTCCCCTCTGATGACGCCCCAAGTGGCATGGGGTAGAAAAGCGCTTCAGGCATTTGCCACACCCTCCCTGCAATCTGGCGAGATGGTCTGTGCGGATGCAGGAGCACATAGGACCTGGAGGACAGAGCTAGAGCAGGGCTTCTTCTTTTCTTTTTTTCTTCCTCCGTCCTTCTCCCTTCCCTTCCTTCGAGAACCTCCCCCTGTCTATGGTCTGTCTATCTTCCTAGTTTTTCCTTTTTTTCGTTTCTTCGTTTTACGAACAGACTCGGATCTCGGCAACAGAACAGGGCGTGGTATGTTGTGGCATCGACATTTTTTTCGCTTTATAAAGTTGCGCTTACTGTTGCTGATCGTATCAATGGTTTGTTTTTTCTGCGTATACAATGAATGGTTTTATCAAATGCCTGCACACCTGGTTTCGATAGTACTTCCCTCTTCTTTTTTTCCCTCTCTTCTTCTCTCCATCCCTCTTCTCGCTGCTTCCTCACTTCTCTTCTTATCCTTCCTCTTTGTCTTCGGGTTCTCCGTTTTCTTCCGCTCTATCACCTTCATCTCCCTCTTCCTCACTTCCGCACCTTTCCCCTCGTCCCTCTTCCTTGTCCTTTTTCTCTCGCCCCTGTCTCCTCTTCTCCTCCCTTCCGAACGTCTCCATGCGCTTCTCCCTTCATTTTGTACTTCGGTTTGAGCTACTGGAATGTTGGGGTATGAGTACTTGAAATGGTTTTTCAAGAATTGGAATCGTTTTTCTTTCTTTTCATTTTTCTTTTTTCTTTTTTCTTTGTCTTTTTTCTTTGCCCCCTTTTTTTTTTTTTTTTTYTTTYTTTYTTTCTTTTGCAAAAG